AATTCCTAAAATTTGGAGAGTTGACTTTTTGGTCAACCGTACGACCGATCGGTGACTACCGAGTCGCCTGTTGACATTCTGGACCTTCTGAGACTTTGAAACTTCTTGAATGAACTTCATTAAGCTATATGAATTTCATGGATCATAATCTCACCATTAAAACACCTTCCAATATCAAAGTCAAACTACAGTTGACTTTTACTGGTCAGAAACCCTAATCGGGTGCCCTGAAATACACTGCTCTGGATTCTGGGGTAACAACCTCAAATTGGATTCTCAGATGTCTTCATATGATATCCATGATTTTATTTCATGATTGAATTAGCCCAAATCATTGACTAATCACAAACCCTGAAGCTTCGATTTTGATTGCACGAAACCCTGATTCATCTGTAATTTGATAAAGACAAACTTGCACTGGGTTAAGGTTAGATAATTCATGAGTATGATCCTAAAATGATAATGAGAAATATAAGGGGTCAAAATTTTGGGTGCAACAGCCATCTTGTTCCTCATTAAAAAATATACGATTTAGACTAAAATTTTGTGTAAAACCATTGAGAATTGAGGAAGTTACATATCAAAAAGCAATTCATCTTTTGCTTCATGTTTTGTGCCCAGCCTGTTTTAAATGTTACTAGGGCTGGAAATGAGTCGAGTCGATTCGAACTCACCTCAGCTCGGCTCGACTCGTTAAGAATTGTTCGAATTCGAGTTCGAGTTCGAGTTCGATACGAACTTTTTTTTAAGCTCAAACTCGACTCGTTATAAGTTCACGAACAGTTCGGTTCAGCTCGTTAGGTTCATCTCATTAGGTTCAGCTCACATGGTTCACGAACTTAAAAACTATTTTTTAAAATATATATATTTTTTAGTATATTTGATATTTTAAATAAATATATATTTTTTAAATAAAATATTAAAATAAAATAAAAGTTATCATATTGAAATTTAACTTTATCTTCGAAATCTACTAATTCAAAACCTACACAACTTTCAAGAGATACATTTGAGAGTCTAATTCAAAAACTACTAAATTGAAGATTAAACTTGTCTAAGATTTGAAGTAAATATTTAAACTTAATCTTAAAGATAGTATAATTCTTTTCATATGTAATTGAGTTGACTCATCAACCTAACGAGTCGAACTATGTATAGTTCAAGTTCAGCTCATTTAGTTAACGAACTTAATTTTTCGCTCATACTCAACTCATTTGGTTCATGAACCTAGTTCAACGATTTAATTGTCGAGTCGAATTCCGAACTATCTTCGAGTTGGTTTGGTTCGTTGCCAGCCCTAAATGTTACCCATATATTTTATTGGGTGGCATTTACAAACGGATGTATAGCCACCCCAGTGGTAGTCACCTTGTCACCTAAGCGCCTTGTACCAGCTGAACCTGGGTTCGACCCCTGAGGAGGGCAACCCTTTTGTCAATTTTCACCATTTTTCAACCAAACTTCAAAAAATCACATCTCTTTCATTTTTTATCATTTTGCACCCATTCTTTTTGCATTATGTTTTTTTTTATGTCTACTTTTATTTCATATTTTAAAATTCCATGTTTGCCTAATTTTTCATCCTTTTTGACTACTTGCAAGTTAAGTATGTTTTGTGATCGTTTCCCACATATGCAGATGAATTTCTCTCTCATTATACTTGTGAATATCATGATATTTGCTTACCCTCTTTTCCTCAATGTTAGTCAACATGCTATGATTTTATTTGTGGTTGTTACCATATTCATTTTGTCCCCTCTGTTGAATTTACTTAAGCTCGATCTGTTGTCACACTTCCTGCTTAATCATCTGCTTTGATTGTCATCAATGCATCTTTGCTTTATCTTTTAAACATGTTCACTTAATGGTTGTCACCATGCTTTTATTTTCATCATATTTAAAACTTTGTTAAGTAATTTCTTGTCCCCAAGTGATGAAGCTTGTTAGCTCTCATCCCAGTTCCCTCCTCTCTCTCCTTCCAAAGGAAAAGTCTTTCCATTGACCTTCATGTCATGCATAGCTCATTCACCCATCCCTTGACTTTTTTAAGTCACTTTAACCTTAGTTTAGAAGCCATTAGACTTTGCTTCAAGTCTAAAAAACCTACCAGTACTAGGAGTGTTCTTCAACTAGAACCCTAGGATAGAGTTTGTCAACTCTATGTAAGAATCATTGTCATGATTTCTTACTTCCCCTTTTGAGTGTTATAATTTAGATTAGGGAGTTTTGTCAAACTCCACACAAACTTTGTCAAGTTTGTTCCCCCTTGAACCTTGATCATAATCAAGTGTTCTTCATCCCTCGTGAGGTGAACTACGATTGCTCTGATTCTATCCTAGTTAGGATACGTAGGCAGAAGACGCGACGTCTTTGCGAGCAAACTTAGTGTATATAATTTTAGGTTTCAACTTATACATTTTCCCAATCCATAGCACATTCCCACAAACTTAGCAAGCAATCAAACAAAAGGTTCCTGTAGAGTACTACAGATGCTTAGGGTGCTAACACCTTCCCTAAGTATAACCAACCCCCGATCCCCGAATCTCTTAAGCATTGTCGTTACATCGCGAAAAAGGTTTTTCTTTCTTTAGACCTTTCCTTTGGATAAAATAAAGTTCGGTTGTAAAAGAATTAAGATTCAAGTTAATATAATAGCTTGATATCCAATTTTCACCGCAACAGTTACCATACAAATCATAAATCTACCATATAAGAACCAAAAGCCATTGTTTGATATTAAAGTGGCATATGCTCCAGAAGAATTTATGTAATAATAAAACACGTGTAAAAAACAAAACACCAAACATATGTATTACACAACTTGATTAATAAGTATGGGCTACATACCTCTCGAAAAAATTCAAAACTTCTTCAAAATAGGTAACCACACTATTAATGTGAAGAACTTAACACCTTAAGTGTATATTATAGGACTTATGAAATTCATATGGCCTAAAGGAACTATTATAATAAGAACATAACTACTTCAAAATGGGCTCCAATAAATTAACAGTAGAAAGTCTCCATTTGAACACTCTATGCTAAACTACCCCAACATTACTTCAAAAAAGGGTTAAGTTTTCGATCACGTTCTGACAAATTCCAAATCATAAATGAAACCTGTAAAACATAACCAACACACTATCCATTTGTAAGCTATGTATACTATGTTGAAAAAAACTTATCACATAATATGTAGAAAAATTTAAGGTTACATGTGTAGTCGAATACGCACCCACTCAAACATTGTTGAAAACCTCCTTGTTAACAACGTTTGTCGTTGTAATTTTGGCCGTGTTGTTGTCATCGTGGACCAAAACTTTGATACCCTTCTTGCTGGTAACTCTTGAGAGCGCATCATATATTTTTCCATGAGTAAAAATGTCCCGAGGAATGTAAAGCCTCACTCAATCCAATGACTGGCACTGGGACTTGTAAATCATTATTGCGTAAGACACAATGATTGGGAGTTGTCGTCGACTTAGCTTGAAAGGCCATGGAGATTGTGAAGGGGATATATTCATCCTTGGAATATAGAAGATGTTGTCGTGATTTTCCCCCATTAATATGGGCTTCAAGTACATGCGTAGCCATCTTAGTCACAATTAGCCCGATACCATTGCATAACCCTTCGGACTGATCGATGTTCCATATTAACATAATGGGTGTTCCGATCTTCAATTTTATGTGACGGTTAGGCAAACCGGATGCCTTCAAAGAGGTTATAAATTTTGGAGTGAGAACATGAAGCATGTCTCTGTCATGTATCTCAGACCAATCAACAGAGTTACAGCTAAAGTAATCCATTAACTCACCTATGGAAAACAATGCAAGGCATTAAGAAAAAGGTGAAAGTTGTAGTATATTTAGTAGAATTGATGTTAGGAAGTAATAATACCTGGCATCATGGCCAATAGATGATCATTGATTTTGTCTACCATTTCAATAGTTGATGCCAAGATAGCCATAATCTTAAGATAGTTGTAATCACGATAATTATCGAGGAATCTAGGATACGTATTGGTCACAATGGCAACAATTGGATCTTAAAATTGTGTAATTAACATTTCAGTTGGGAATTCTATTTCTCTTGTCCCATCATTTGGTTCACCTAGTCTATCTTCCCCAATTTTGAGAAGCCAATCGGAGAAATCATCGATTTCTGTCTGTTCTTGTTCTGTTGGACCACAAATGAGACTCATATTCTTGGTTAAGGTCAACACATGTACCAAATTCCATATGTAGGAAGCGTTGATTATGGCGTGCACAATGTCAGAACGACTCCCCCTTGGTATTACCAACAATATCTGTCTAAAGTCTCCACCAAAAACGACAACCTTGCCACCAAAGACCTCATTGGAGTTGCTACTTCTACTCATGATATCCTTTAAAGTTCTGTCAAGAGCTTCGAAACACCATTTGTTTGCCATCGGTGCCTCATCCCAAATTATTAATTTAGCCTTCCTAAGGATTTCTGCAGCATCATTTTTGTAACCAATGTCACAAGTTGAGTTATCCAAAGTAGGTATAGGTATTTTGAACCTTGAGTGAGCACTTCTCCCACCGGGTAACAACAACAATGCAATACTACTGGTTTCCACGGTTAAGCAGATGTTGTGCTTAGATCTAATTGCACTTGCGAGTGTCCTCCACATGTAAGTTTTACTGGTACCCCCATAACCATGCAGGAAGGAAACCCCACCCTTCTTACTTGTAATGGAAGACATGATTTTGTCATATATACCTCGATGCTCATCTACAATTGGTGCAAAACATGGAAGGCAAAAGTTAGGGCGTACGAATTATAGCAATGTACAACAATTGAATGTGTTATTACCTATAAGAGTTGCATGAAGAGATAGAAATTCAGCCTGCATGGTTGGAACGTCATAAATGTGCTCATCGTATATCAGCCAGTTGCCCAGTTGCTCTAACACAAACCCGTCTGGATATGGTATCGGATATAAGTCTTTAATACTTCTGTGATTGGCCTGAAGAAGTTATTCAATCTCAACCAATGTAAGATTCTGCAGTTGTGCGTCACTCAAAAGCAGGTCTACGACAATCATGGATGTAAGGCTGGTTAGGATGTAAAAGTGCAGAAGATTTTCCAAAATTGAAAAAAAATATTGTAAGAATGAAAAAAAGAACTATTTAAAATTTTGAATTTTACCTTTGTTTTGTACCAACTGCCTCTGCCGGTGCAACAATCCGTCAGAAAGTATAACCCACGACTCCTTCCAGACATGAGTATGCCTGTTCATATTTCCTAACATAAGCATGACCATAAATAGCTTTCTAAGAAAATGACCTGACCCCCATTCACTGGCTTCTTTAATAACCATAATGCATTTCCTGTCATCCTCAAGGAAACCCATAGCAAAACATGCATCCCTAAATGATTCGTACTGTGTATCGCCAGCCTTTCGTATTTCCTCATAACTCGTAGGTCCCTTGATCATCGTCAACATCATCCGTAGATAAAATAGTTCTCCTGTAAATGGTGGTACCCAAATCAAACGAACAATTGTAAATTCTTTTTTGTTAGGCTTCCACATTTTATTTCTTTTATGGTATACAAACATGGTGGCAAACTGGTCGTATGTTAACTTCCTGGCATGTTCATAATTCTGATTTGCATGTAACCAAACCTAAAACATAGATTCTGTAATGCTTGCCTTCTCTAAAATATTCTCCATGCGGTCATAATCGGTGTAGTACAATGGCTTCTCACCAATAATATGGAAAAACATACGTTTAACTGCTGGCTTCCTTCCATGAATGTTGTAAGCGAAGATTAACCAACTTGCCTCGTAAGGAGAGATGTATGTACAATCAAGATACTGTTTTATTTTATCAATGAGTTGATTACCATTGGAGGTGGACCAGGCATCATGTACAACGGAAGCAGTAATTCTATCATATTCCTTGTGTATATATTTGAATAAAGATTTAATCGACGTGCTCTGATTACACCACTCCATGTTTATATGAGCTTGGTACTTAAAAAGTAACATTGTGTTGTAGGGTGTCGCTACTGCGAAAATCGGCGCCGGCTGAACAGAAGAGTCGCCACCGTGCGTTATTTATCCCAACGGAGGGAAAGGAAACACTCGAAGTAAACCTACCGCAAAGACGGGAAAGGAATGGTCATCGCAACCAAATCCTGGATTCGGGAGTCGGTTACGCAAGGGGAAGGTATTATCACCCCTCACGTCTGTCGTACTTGACGGGATCCACGCTTGCTTGGTTTGTCTAAAGGATGCAAACCAATCTATCTACGGATGCTAAATCTAAACGGGAAGGAAACTGACTCGATAGACCGTCGCACTCTATGCCTACGTATTCTCAAGAGAGAAAGTCAGAGTCATCGTAGTTCAGGAAACTACAGGGAATTGGCTCACCAAGACTTCGCATCTTGTGCCTACGTACTTCCACACAGAGTGGAAGATCATAGCTTACGTAGTTCATGCTAACTACGGCTAGACAGGGTGTTCTCGATCACACAGGAGTGAGAGATTAAGTTGTTTTGAAAGGTATGGGAACCTACGGGAACTAGAGCTACGGTCTGGTCTCAAATGCGTAAGGGCAAGAGAAAGGGAATCAATCAGTCGTCAGTGGGAAAGTCTCGATCGCACAGCAGCGAGAGAACAAAAAGGTTAGTTGTTAGTGTGCTTGCTAGGATATCGCATCCTATGCCTACATATTCTCATTCGATATGAGAAATCAGAGCAGCTGTAGTTCAGCCTACTACAGCTAAAACCTGGAAAAAGGGAAAAGGGAGAAGGGAGAAAGGGAGCTCGCTAGGATACGGCATCCTATGCCTACGTACTCTCGTCGGGCACGAGAGATCAGAGCTAACGTAGTTCGACGGGAAAACGAATCTCAATTGCACGGGGGCAAGAGAAGGGAAACAGGGATTCGCTCGCACGGGGCGAGAACAAAGAGGAGGCAGGCCTACGCCTAAACGGGAAGGAACTCGGGACACGCACGCAAGAACCTAAGAGGAAACTCCTCTGCTGGAACTTCCTTTGTATCTGATGATGCAGCCCGCAACACTCGCTGGTTGCCTGAAAACTTGAATACGACAATGATAATGAACGAAGCAGCTCCGGGGCTCCTGACGTACGCGCAAGCTCCATTTCAATCTTCTCCTCTCTGGATCTTGATGATGACGCTCGAATCAAGAACAATGTGACGCTTAGACCGTCATGGTTCGACTTATACGAGAAATCGAACTCTAAGAGGTAGCGTATTGATATCCGTGTCAAAGACAAGATGGAGAAATGATATCGAAAATCATTCTCCAATTGAATCGTGTCACACGGCCATCCAGAAATAAAATCGAGAATAAAGTCAGATGGAAACAAAAATAAGAGAGACAATCCAAGGCGAGATGGAAATAAAATGCTACTCCTAAAATACGGCAATTAAATTCTACTAGAAAATATTCTAAAGAATAAAATCTATAAACTCCTAAAAACATCTAAGTCCTAAATTCTTTACAAAGGAATAAATGCTAAATTTCTATTCTAGGAATTATTCTATCTAAATTCTATTAAGAGAAAATATACTAAAGATTATGGTCTAAGCATATTAAACTAAACAATTCTCTAAAGAAAATTAAATCCTAATTATAACCCTAACATGCTAATCAATATGCTAATTATTCTAGAATTATTAAACTATTCTAAAAAAAATACAATTAAAACCATTCAAGAAAATTTACAAAAAATGTACAGGGGGGAGGGGTGCAGCAGAGATTACAGGGGTTATGCTTCAGCAAAAAATACAGGGCCCAGCCCACAACACATCCAGAAAAAAAAAACAAAAATTAAAAAAAAAGGGATAGGGGGTGTATAGCCAGACGCAGGGTGTGTGGCCGAAAAACAACTTGGGCCTGATGCCCAGCTACACACACACAAACGGGAGGGGGGGGGGTGAATGGAAAAATGGAAGGTGGATCCCAAAATGGATTGGGCCAAACCGGGCCCAAGAAGGCCCTTCCCTTCCCCTTCTCCCAAAGCCAAACTCTGAAACCCTAGTCTCCTTCTTTGCTCACAGCGGCGCCGCCTGAAACTCCTTCTACCTCTCTCTGTCTTCAACTCACGTTCTTGTTCAAACAACAAAAGAAAAGACAACACCAAATCTCAACAATCAGAGTTTGCAAGCAGATTCAGAAGCTTGGACGAACTTTATTGATGGCGAAAGCTGAACTCGGATCCAAAGGTGTGGAGCTTGCACGTTGAAGAACGAGATTCTGGAGTTGCGATAATGATGAAGATCGTGGATTCGTGGTAGATCAGTGAAGACGAAGGTCGATCTGTTGCATTTAGTTGATGATCGGTGAGGTTTTGAAGTTTGGATTAGAAGCCCTTCGTAGATTGCATGTTTGAAGATGGAAGTTCTTAAAGACGGTGAAGAACGATGATACGAAAGCTGAAAAAGAAACTTCACAGCTAACCTTATGAAGATCAAGGAGAATGCATGCGGATCTGAAGATTGTAGTGGTGAACAGATTGAAAGATGCGCAAAGTTTAACCAAAAAATCTGCTGGAAGTAATGGATGAACATAGACGGAGGAACTGATGAATTTCGTGGATGGATCTTGATGATCTGGATCAAATCTGGGAATCTTGAAAAATGGATGAAGAACGTTGAGCGTTGTCAACGATTCTGGTGATGATATTGAATGTTTCTGGAGATTTGGTTGAAGGTTGATGAACGTCAAAGAAGATTTCTATGGAGTTTGTTGAAGAATCTGGGAAAAGATGAAGATCTTGATGTGGTTGATGTTTGATCGATTTCTGGAAAAATGATCCAAAGATGATGAGTTTGGATCGGAGAAGATGAAGATTTAGGGAAATCTGGCGTTTTTTGGTTTTCCGGTGATTGTTGTGGTGGGCGGAGGTAGTTGGGGTTGCCGGCGGTGAGTTGTTAGGGTTAGCTTGCCGGTGAAGTTGATTGAAGAGGATGAACGGAGAGGATGAAATGCAGTTTTTCCGGCGAGTGTTGGCCATTTGATTTCTCCGGTTGCGGTTTCCCCGATGTTTGCATGGCTCCCGGTGACGTCTCTGGTGAGGGCTTGATGAGTGGGACGGGTGTCACACATGCGTGTGCGGGGGAACGAGATGGAGAAACGTGGCATGGAGGAAGGGTGAGGTACAGACAGGTGGAGAGTGAGGTGTCACTCTGAGAGAGTGAAAGGGTGAATGATGCGGGGGCTTCTGCGTGTGAAACGTGGCAAATGGAGAAGCTAACTCAGAAATGAACACGTGGATGGCCTCTTATAGGACAGGTGGCAATGATTAGGACTGGGCCTCCAAAACTGGGCCCACGAAAATGCCCAAAAAACTGGCTATAATGGACAAAAAAAGTTAATGGACTGAACATATGATTAAGGAACTAATTGGATGATTAACTACTAATTAATGCTAAACAAAAATTAATTGTGGATTAAAAACTAACCCTAATGATTAAAACTAAATCTAATTAATAAACTATCTTAAAATCTAGTAAAAAGAAATCTATTAAAACTAACAATTCAATTAATACTAATATCTAAAATCTATTTAAAAATAAAATCTATTAATTTAAAACAAAAACCTATTAACATCCATATTAAAAATCTATCCAATTATTCTACAAAAATCTATTTAAATCTAATAAAACTATATAAAAAACTTACTATATCCTATATCTAGAAAATCTATTAAAAATCCTATTTAATTTCTATACAACCAAAAAATAGAAAAAACTCTATTAATTCTATTAAAAAAAAACCTAGTAAAAGAATTTCCTATTAAAAATCAATTTAAAACCATTCTCTAAAAAAGGAAAATTGATATTAAAACTCTAAAACTATTTAAAAAACATTTAATATCTCTTAAAATCTATCTAATATCTAGAAAAATCAATTAAATCCTATTTAAAATCTATAAAAGGCTATTAAATCCTAAAAATGCAAACAAAGGCAATCAACCAAAATAAAAGAGGGCGCGAGACCAGATCGAAACAAACAGTAAACCCAGACACCAAAATCCTCAAAAGCAACCGCGTAAGCTAAAAACACCCGGGAAGCGTGTGACTTCTCAAAAATAACCTCCGATTATCCGAATCGGTCTGAAACACCCAAAATGTGAAAACAGGGCTGAAATCTCGATAAAATCAATATGAATGAGAAAATGCATTGTATGCGGTATGCGAATGCGAATGCGAAATGCGTCGAATCATAAACCAAATAGGGGAACCGGTTGGTCAAATTTTAGGGTGCAACAGCTTCCCCTATTCAAGCGGCTTGGACCTGAATGGTTGAAGAGCGAACGACTTTCAAACATTCAAAGGTAGAAGACGGTTGAATACAAAAGAACCCTGAAATTTACCAACCGCAGAAGTATACTGCAGAACTGCTTGAGGAATAGCTTCCAATGAACTGAAGTTTGGTTGTTACGGCAACAACTGGTCAATTATCTGATAAATTTTCTTTTTCGTCAATCACCCGTGTGACGCCACGGGTACTGAATCTTCGGAATAATGCTTAGAAAGCAAACACCTTGAC